TTATAATGTTGTCAATTATGTGGTAACTCTTGAGAGAATTATCTATTACAGAATTTCTGTTCACACAGGTCCCAAGAATCATTCGTAAATCATTTTTAAAATCCTAATATTCCTTTCCAGACTATAACTGAATCCAGCATTTGCTTGAACATCTTCCATTCAGTGACTTCCTGGGCAAATAAGACACTTAGTCTTTCAGTCAGAAGATGCTCAGTGCCTCTGACAGACTCTTACTCTCCCTCTCAACATAGATTGTATGGTAAAATATTTTATGTAGGAGGATAAAAAAGACACATATAAATAGTTATCTTCCCTGATCATTTATGACCATGAAAGTTGTTTATTGTTATTACCAGTCTTTAAATCTGAGCATATTTACTCATAAACTCATATTTGTTGCTAGTTTTATCCTGCTATGAATCATAATGCTGTATGCAAACTTCTAGGGCAACTGTGGCCTCACTTCAGAATTACACTCTACAGTAAAACAGATTTTGGGGAAAGAAATTTTTAACTGACGATGTCCATATTTTTAGATAATAAATCAACCAAGAATTGTTGTCATTTCTAATTTTCTATGGAAACTTTAACTAATTTCTCAAGTTAAAATTACATAATGCTCTAATTTGCATCATTTTAAAAGGATCAAGTGTAATAAATTTGTGACCTTTCATTTCTTAGTTACATTTGTTTTATTTTTTAAATAAGTATATTTGTTTGCTAAGACTGCCATAATAAAATACCACAAATTAGGTACTTTAAACAACAGAAAGGTATTGCCTCATAGTTTTGGAGGCTGGCCATCCAAGACCAAAGGAATCAACAAGGTTGATTTCTTCATGCTATGAGGAAGAATCAGTTCTAGGCCTCTCTACTTATCTTATAGGTGGCCATGTTCTCCCAGGGTCTGCACATAGTCTTCCTTTTGTACATGTCTGTGTCCAAATTTCATCTTCTCATAAAGACATTAGTCATGGTGGATTAGGCCCACTTTAATAGCTTCATTATAGCTTAATTACTTCTAAGAAGACCTTATATCCAAATTTATATCCTTATATCCACATTCTTCAACACTCAGGATATTGGCTTACAAATTTGGAAGGAGGTTACATGGTATAAGTCTTCTTATGTGCCTATAAGATGCTCCAGTGATCAAATTAAGCAGCATCTAGGAAAGAAATTGTTATAAAATTACTAAACAAGTACCCCAAATATGAAAAGTTATTACTATATCTGACATTTTCCTTTCAGAAGTAATTTCTTTTCATAATTTTTATTGCACCTGTACTGAAGAATAATTTACATGCCATAAAATTTGCCCCTCAGAAGTATAGAATTAGGTGTTTTGTTTTTAGTATATTCAGAATTGTTGAATTAATTCCACTATTTAATTTTAATGTTTTCATCTTTTCTCCAGAGAAATTTCATATGCATTCATAATAATTCATTTCCTCTCCCCTTAGACTCTGGAAAATATTGACCTATTTCATATCTCCACAGATTTGCCAATTCTTCACATTTCTTTTAAATGGAATATTTGGTCTCTTGTGACTGGCTTCTTAGCATTTGTTTTCAAGGTCAATCTATACTAACGTATGTATTGGTACTCTCTCCATTGATTTTTTTTACTGCAAAATCACATGCTATTTTATGTCTATACCACATATAATATAACAACATATTGTTATCTTTCATCAGTTGATGGACATTTGGATTATTTTCACTTCTGAACTACTATGAACATTCACATACAAATTGTTTTATGGACATATGTTCTCATTTCTTATGGTTTGGCCTATCAGAGGAGCAGAATTTCTAGTTCATAATGTGACTTTATGCTTAACATTTTGAAGAACTGTCACCCTGTTATATTGTTACCCTACCTGCAGGAAATCATCAACTTCTAGTAACAACAAAGAAATTCAACAAGTTTACTTCTTTGTTCTTTTCCAATTACCCCATCTCAAACAATTCCATTTGATTGGTCAAAACAGAAATTGATGTTTGTATTCTCTTAGATGATCATTGGAGAGTGGGGTTCAGTCTATCTAATTTTAATGAATGAGTTATATATTCTTTGGCTGTCTTATTAGGGGACTTAATGAAGTACAAACAATGTCTTAAAGAAAATTTTTAAAAAATTTCTTTCACAGTAGGACAACATGCTACTAATATATATTTTTGGGTTTTTTTGTTGTTGTTGTTTATTTTCAGTACTGGGGATTGAATCCAAGGGCACTCTACCGCTGAGTTATATCCTCAGCCCCCCTTTTTTAAATTTTATTTTTTTTTTATTTTTTATTTTTTTGCCCTTTTTATTTTTTTATTTTTTTTTTTATTGTTGGTCGTTCAAAACATTACACAGTTCTTAATACATCATCTTTCACAGTTTGATTCAAGTGGGTTATGAACTCCCAACTTTACCCC